AATAAACCCTTGCTAAGATTTTGTTTGCGAGGGGAATTTAACATTTTCCTCTTATTTTTAAATAAGCTTTGTATATATAAGGTTTTTTCGACAAAACACTTAATTATACTTTATATCATTTATCCAGTTGCTGCTATGACGTACTAATCTGAACAAAACAAAATATTCAGGAAGTATTAATTATTATGATCTTTGAACAACTACACTATAAAAACCGAAAATCATTTTTTTTTTTTTAAAAATTTATACATATTTTGGACAATGTGTCTTCCCATTTAAGGAAATATTCTACTGTATATCAGATACCAATACAAAGGTTAAAGAATCATGGAATTTTTTCTGACTTTGGTTTGCTCTTTTCCAAATTGGTGTCGAGAATGTTCCCATGTAAGCATTGATAAAGCTACCAACGTACGTGATGTCATCTGGGATCAGTGTAATAAAACACAAAAGTATGAGATGACGGTCAAGAACTTCTCAGGAGCTCTGCTCCACGAGAGTAACATTTCTTGTTGTGAAGGAAACATCAAGATACGGTACTTTCAAGGTAAGACATAATTGTTCCTGTTTTTCAGAGGAGTTGTTTCGTGATTTTTCAGTTTTATTTTTAGTAAGAGGCGCATGGTTGTATCTTTTTATCTGCGAATTAAAAGTAAAATGAACTATATGTACCCCATTATTCAGTTTTTACTCTGATCATTTAATAAAGCTTAATGTTCCTAATCTTACAAATTGTGTAACAAAACTAAAACAACAACAATAACAAAACATATAGCAACCAGAAAGGCTAGAATTTTTTCTAACTGTGGTTAATAATCTCTTTGTTATAGTGACAACATTTGAAGATACGAGGGATGTTCAATAAGTAATGTCCTCGGTGCTCAGAAAGAAGCAAAAGACGCTTTTCAATGATTTATTCTTCATGATTTTACTAATTAATCTCTTTTAAGTAAAATACATGTCCGTAACATTTTTTATTTAATTTCTGATCGTTTTTAGATATATTTTTGGGTATGACCCTTAGTATACTGGAAAATGGCAAAAAATTTCCCGGACTTGTTTCTTCCTTCTGAAAGGTGTTTTTTCCAAGTTTGGAAATAGAAACAAGTCAAAAAGTCAAGAATCTGGTAAATATTGTTAATGTAAAAAAACATTAACTTTCTGTTTATCTCGAAAACCCCTTTACTCTTCAGGGCATGCGGGTTTGGACGCTGTCTTGAAGAAATTCAATGTAGTGGATTCCTGATTCTAGGTCCTTCCTCTAATAAACCTTTTGATTTTTTGGCCAACAAAGTGCCTTCTAGACTCCTCCAGAAATTAAACTTTCTCTCCGAATACGATTTTGAACAACAATACCATTAATGTGTAAGAAAATTACAAATAAATCAGTCTTTATGCTCTTGCATGCCTGTGCACTTGCCAGACATTCGCCCTTTTTTATCAAGTGCATCTGATAGAAAATTTTGTTTTTAGGGGTTTGAGCAATAGATTCATGTTTCAATATCTGTTTGAAAATAAAACAAACGTGGATAACTACAATTACTGATATTTTAAAATAATTGTTAAGAATTTCGTACACGCTGTCGTTTTCACTCATTTTTCAAAATATAGGGTGACCTTTGAGTATCAAGCTTTTTTACCGTCAAACGTGTCTTAAATACAGTGTCAACTACCCCCGATGTAATGTCTATCAAATTTGCTATGTGTCTTAAAGTCAATCATACATCATCAAATATTATTTGTTGAAATTTGTCGAACAGTACATAAGTTGTTATAATTTTTGTTGGCAAGGAGGGTACTCATTTTTGAGACCCATTACATAATTTTTTATCATTGAAATCCACCTGCTCTTTTGTCTATAAAATAGGTATTGGTTGCTGTAAATGTCACATATTTCAGTGAATATTTCTTTGGGATTTTTAACAAGTTTTACAGCAGCTTTAATGAAACTTTTATTTTCACTCTAGTTTACCGATTCTTTACCATTCATTTATAATGCAGTGTCTCGAAAAGCCCTTGTTTCTCAGCTTCTCACGATAAAACTATGTGATGAAAAGTGGTCACATAAACCGTTTTAAATTCATGAAAGATTCAATAATGAGAGAAAGTCAAGTTTAATGTCATATTATATCTATAATGTATGTCATATAGTTCAGGACATTATTTATTGAACAGCCCTCGTATTATAGAATCATTAAAAATATAAAAAAAAATGTACCGATGCGAAAACTGGTTGCAAAATTCATATCATTGAAACTCAAGATTGTAAAAACTTATATAAATCAGACTATATATCCAAAAATGAGTGTTTTTACACAATCTTATATGCTGAAATAGCATTTTAATGATATAAATATTTGTTTCACATTAATATTGTAAAAAAAGTTTCTATCATATAAAAAGACAATGTTTGTTGAAAGTTCAATTATATTCAAAATATTCAGTTAACTATTTACAAAGTGCTTTAAATATGCTTGAAACATATTATGCATACCCCAAAAATATTAATACATTTGTATTTTGAGCCTTAAACTCAAAAAAGGAATCGGTAAAATATACATTTTAATCATACACAAACATTTTGAATATACATTTTTATGTTTTTTCACATCGGAAACAATGGTTTTAAGGACAGATGATTCAAACAAAAAATGGATTGTTATTTTTTTTAATTAATTTCATTGAAAATGATGCAAATAATAATTTTTTTGAAGATAAAGAAATTGTAAACTTTCTATGTTGTTAAAAACCCTGTCTCTTTGAAACCATCCTTAATAATCTATACAAATAATTTTCACTTCAAATCCAATTTATTTGAAAATTTGAATAAAAAATTAAAAACTACGCGGTGAAACCTTTTCATTTAACTCATTAAAACATGACTCATATTGTTCTTTTCAATTTTTTTGACAAAAGTTTGTTTGTGTCATCTGTCCTTAAGGACAATTTAACACACGTTGCAATTAACCCTACGTCTAGTTTCTTCCTTTTTGTTTTAGTTTTTTCTTTTTTGTTTGTTTGGGTTTTTTTGTTATTGATGAACTTTAATGTTAATATATCAATAGTGTTTATGTTAATATTTTTATCATATACATATTTTTTATCTTAACTAGAGAAAGTTGATCTTGCAACATGGCCGACAAGAGGCGGAAGTGTTTTGCATGATCTGACAGAACCTTTGCACAACATGACAACCTACACAAATCGGACACATGCCGAGGAACCAATCTCACCACAGTCCACCATAGTTATCGCTTCTGTCGCGATATCGGCGATCCTAGTCATAATAGTTCTCGTTTTTGTCATTGTGATATGTAGAAAGAAAACTAAGTAAACAAATTAAAATTTCTTATTATATAAACTTCTTTGTGATTTCATTGATTGAAGTGTTTGTTTCTCAATTTTAAGCATTTAATTTGTGTTTGATTCTGATTTCGAGAAATCAATTTAAAAATATCAAAACAGGAAATAAAGCTGATTTTTGAAAATTGAATTTTAAATATGTACCATTTATAATTGAAAATGTATGTTTTAAGTTACCATAACATTTCTCGTCGTGATTGTGACAGCTAGAGGTGTAGCTTCAAGAAATGTTTTTTTTTTTTTTTTACATTTTATCGTTTATTTTAAAAATGCATTGACCATGTTTATTTGTTTGTTTGTTTTATGTTTAACACCGTTCTAAAGATTTTTCCCCCACTCTTCTACCTTGTGTAAAGTTGAATTAATCAGTAATAAGCCATCATTAAGAGGGTAAAAAGTATTTGTAAGTAAAACCTGATTAGAATTTACAGCAGTTTTTAAAATATTACATGTTATATATGCATTGTTAAAGATATTGATACGAAAGGTCGATAAAAATCGTAAAGATCAGAAATTTGCTCTTAGTTATTACATTCATTGTGAAAGTATAAATTGAGGATTATGAACAGCTATTAAGCTCTATAGACCAATCGAACAAAACACATCGTATTGTGATATGTTTTTGTGCATTTTCAAAATATTAGCTTTGGCCAAAGTGTTACAAAGACCTAGAATAAATAAAAGGACTCTTTATTAAAATTATGTCATCTTTCGTCTATCGTGTCTCTGTTTCTAAAATATCTTTACCGTCACGATAGAATATGTTACATAAATTTTGAATCATATTTTATTGTGTGAGACTTTACGTCAAACATTGCAGTTTTCCTTTTGGTAGAAATATGAATCATCAATATATTAAGAGAAATAAAGCTAAAAGGCCAGAGAAAACGACAAATGCATGTATAATTCAGTTTAATAGCCTCTTTCTGTCTGTTGATACTGAAATCTGTATTTCCTTATAGGTAAATGCACATGTAATGTGGCTGTCGTGTGTTTAAGTGACTATAGAAAATGTGCTAGACAATGCTAGCGACTTATCAGCTGTGTATAACATACACATTTATTTATTTCCCCTATACTGCATAAAACATTACGGAGATAGAGCTTCAGAACCACTACAAATGACAGATCATAAAGATTGACCTAACATTATTTAATTCTCATGGGAAATCAAATAAATGCTAAATTCAGTACAAAGTATGAAATTTTAACGTAATTTACTTTTTTTTTAATTTAAAGCTGTTTTTCAAACAGACTCATACACATAGAGCTATAAGAGAAACATCATCCATCAAAGAATCTTTATGGTAAACCAGAAAACAAGCGTTTTTTTTTTATTGACTTTAATAACAACTTTGATAAATTTGATACTTTTATTTATTTTCAAACGTTACATATTTTTATAGATTCAAATCCTCATTGACTGTTTAGTTGCACATTAATGGGTAGGATAAAAGATATGTTAGTACATGTATGTTTTTTTGTAGAAATTATTATCAATATTAAAATGTTACATACTGTATTAGAGTTAGAGAAAATTGAGCATAACAATTTTGAAGTTCATAGTACAATACACATGTAAATTGATTTACTATTGTAAGTAACAGAGCACTTATACACTTATAACAACAGAGCACTTATACACATGAATATACATTATTCAGTTCACCTTCATTTTGTTCATGGTGGAATGTTTTATTGTAAATGTTATTATCAATTTCACTGAAATGGCTGTAGACGCTTTCCTGTCTATCAATACATTTCTTTTCTTTTTTATGAAGTGTACAATAGAACGTCTCCTCATCGAGATAAGCATGTTTCAAAGTGCTGCTCTCTTCACTATCAACAATACTTTGTGATTCTTCCACTCTTTCATGAACATGACTTTTATGTTGTGCATTCTCTGTGTCTTTCGACATTAATTTAATGTGGAATAATGATTTTCTAACAGGAATTTTTTCTACTGGTGTTGAATATTCCACAACTTCATCCTTTTATATTTTAATATAACATGTAAAAAATTAAGTCACGCTAGTATTTGCTAGAATTAAAAGTAGAACTTGGATTATGCTTAATATTTCAAAAAAGGAATACATAATTTGGACTTACGAGAAACATTAAAAAAGAAGGTTGAAAATGTTATCTTACAGTGATTATACTGCATGGTTCATGTTGTTTTCCAGGATTATATGTTGAATGCCTTCGATGAAATATGAAAAATATTAAATATGAGAAATATGTAAAATACCTTAGCTTAGTGTATTTATTTTTTTCTGCTGAATTTTTTTCATTTAATCATATACAGCGTTTCTTTTCGAAAAAAAAATATATCAGACGTGGAAATTCTATGGTTAATAAAAAAAATGAAAATGCATTTTATTGTTTAAGATGCTTATTATGAAATAAAAGCAAACATGCATATCTTTAGAAAAACAGTAATTTAGTAATTCACATTCGAAAATTAATACTCCAGTAAATTTCAATGCTTACTTTTTGTACCTAACCACTGATATGATTGTGATAACCAAGGCAATGGACATTGTTATCAGCAGGGGAATGACAACAGGTGATGACGTCCAATCATTTGAAGAGGTTGAATCTTCTACAAAGACAAAACAGAAGTGCTGAGCAGTGGTTTAATATTGTCAGCTGTTTAGTGTGAGGGTGTGTGTTAATTATACAGTGAAAGAAACCTGTCTAAATCTAATTTTGTGTCAAAATAGACAGGTTGTTGGATTGTACAGTATATAAAAGATATGGGAAATAGTAAAACGAAAATAAAGATCGGAATGTACACTAAAACAGCTTGTGCAGCTGTCAGAATAGACGGTTTTCACTGTACATGCTATTGATTTATCCATCTTTGTTTTCTCTCTCTAAAGATTTATAAATGTGCTTTTTAAAATCATACAAATTACAGCTGTAATGAAGGTTTGAATACGGCTTACTTTACCTGTGGTATACAAAAGTGACCGAGAACCCTCACAACATCGGGTTTGATTGAATTCCCCAACAGTAGCCCCCTCCACTACAACTTTGGTTATAGGAAGGTAACTTGGATATTCGTAATGCTTCGAGCAATTGTCCACTATAGTGACAATGGTTTTGAAATCTGGATCAGCAACTCTAAATATACTACACGTTACACAGAAAGTAGGGTGGGAACAGTCCTTTGTCGTTGCTTTCATCATTTTATTCTAAAAGATTAAAGAACAGTTGAATTATTGATTAAGAAATGATCAATATTGTCAATATTTGAAAAAAATTCTAAAACATTAAAGATATGAAAATGAAATATCAAGAGCGGTGTTTTATTTTAACATTGATTGATCAAATTTTAATGAAAATGCATAAAAATTTTGATTAATATTTTTCAATGTACAAAAACATTGCAATTTAAATGTAAATCACTTTCATTATAATAGAAGTACCTGCAGAGATACCTTTCTTATTTCAAACGCATCCGAATTTTTCCACGATATTATATTTCATAATTGATATGTTGATATTGTGGTACTGATTCATTAATATGAAAATTCTCTAAGCATGGTTTTGAGTTATTTTTAAGTGTAAAAGGCCAGCACCTGTCATATGGTTTTGTCAATAACCAATAACCAGGTCAAATAAACAATGAATACTTTACGTAATTTTTTTTCACAACCTTTTGAATGAGAATTAGCTTTTAAGCTAAATTTCACGGAGCAAAATGTATAAAACACATGACACATATTCTATAATATAAATTTAGTTTTTTTTTATTTCATGTTAAAAATTATTAAACTTTATCGTACTTACTGTATTCTTGTGAGGTTCAGATGAAAATAATTGCCAACATAAATAATTTCTCTAATTATGAACATGGAGCCATATCTTCTTCTAACCTATACTAGACAGTGAATAAAAAAGTGATGACCTGAAGGAACATAAACTTGTAACAGTTATTCCTTTTGTATCTTAGTGCGTTACCCTATGAAGAAAAGCAAATTAGTTGATGATATTCCTATATAATTAAAAATTCTGACGCCCTTTCCTTATTATAATCATTATATAACATACATGTACATATTTAACAGCTCTTAATTTCTCCTTTGGTAATTATATCATCCGGAAATTAATTCCTTCTTACAACATGTATCCGTGCTTATAATTAAATTATGAATATTAGGATTTAAAGCAATGCCTATTCTATAAATACTGACGAAATTTGTAATATTAAGAAAAATGTGAACATTTTCATTTTCGTGCTGTTGACGGAATACGAATGTACATTTAATGACAAGAACAAAGTACGTTTGTAGAAAAGTCTTTGTAAAGGAAGTCTTTATTGAATATGTATAATTTAATAAGCATCACCGAAACGGCTTGTATTTTTTTTGCACAATATCAAATCTGAATTTTACCAATGTAGCAAAACTGGGTGATGAAATTCAATAATACGGTAATTTGTTACACATTTTCATATGGCATTATCATATTAGTCCATCAATATGCATGCTAATGAAGCTATCTAAGGACTTATCTTAGTTTTAAGGGAGGTTAAGAAAGGTTTTTTTACCACCATAGAAGACGAAGATCTCCCTTACTACATATCCAAATTGATTTTAGAAGCGTGTGAAATCAAAACAACTTAAAATTAAACGCTAATTTTTGACATGAAATCGTTAGAAAAATCTTCAACAAAAAGTCAAATAAAAGGCTCATAATTGACAATACTAAGGCATTAAATACCGAGAGTGTAAATATCCTCCAATCTAAGAATCTCTACTAGAAAGAAAAACAAAAATAAATCCAATCATAGCATTCTGAAGAGTTCCAATTAAAATTGTACTTATTCTTCCTTGTCCTAAGTGCATTACAATTAGTAAATAGCGTTTTTTTTATTTTAACTAGCGAACAAAGATGGAAGAGGGATAAACAGAAAAGCACGTAAAGACATTATTTATACTAGCAGTAAAATCTTAAACAGTTGAAAGAAAGACATTAAGCGTTTTAAACTGCTGACCAAAAAGCAGGCACTTTATGATATAAAGAAATCAATACCATATTAAAAATACTCATTGAAATCAATTGCATCACTCTGAACTGTTTGGTCTGTATATTTTAGTTAAAACTTAAAACATGTTGCTTTATTTTTAAACCTTGCATATCGACCACAGAACTTTCGAAATAATGACTTTAAACGAGACGGCAGATATTCTTGTTTCATTAACTTGTTTTTCAATACTTTGAATAGTTTTTAAAATTGTTCATATGTACATGCTCTTGTGTATCGAATCGACTGAGAAACCTGTAATCAGGTGATAAATGTACTTATCACTGTGTAAGTAAAGAAAGATGAAGATTGAAAAGTTTAATTCATTTGGTTTATCATAAAACTTTGTTCTTCGATTACCTTTTACGTCTTATTCTAGACAAAATATCCAGTATAAGAGATGTATCAGATTCTATGGTGTCTTAAAATCATCGTGATATAGTCGAATGAAAATGGAAAAAAGATTTAAGATCAAATTTATTTTTTGATAAAAAAACCCAATAATTTCATCCTGTACAAAATAAGATTTGATCAGCAGTCGTAAACTACTAACAAGAGCTCTACAAATTGCGATTGTCGATGTTTTTCTCTAAATCTTAAACACGTTTATAATCTTTAATACAATTGCATTGTGTTTAGATCAAAGTACTGATTTAGGAAAATCAAGCACACAGAATTATTTGATTAATCTATGGTTACTACTATGTCAAATCAATGTAAATGTACTGAGTCTCCAAATGAATAAAAAATTCTTCGGAGGGACGTTCAACATCAATCAATCATATTTATCAGTGTATATGTACAATAAGAACACTTTACCAGAGATCTCATCCAACTCAACCCCCCCCCCCCCCTCCTAATTTAGACTCATTAAGCGTCATCAATTTTGTTATATATGTTGCAATTTTAGTAAACTGATGGGCTGTTTTGCCCAAAGTTATATTCTGAATAAACTAAAATACATTACAAAATACAAAATTAAAAACATGTTGTATAGGAAGACCAATCTGTACCCTCAATTTAAAAAAAGACGGAATGGGAAGTCGGGTTTCTAAAAAACATATCCGGACCTTGTACAATTTTCCTGCATTTAAGTTAATCACGTTGCACATTTTTAGCAAAGGTTTCAAATGGAAAAGCAAATTCCGACAAAGCCTAGAAAACTGAAACAAATTGTAGATAAAACCAAAAATAACACTCTCACCAGGAATGGAACTTCTGATGCCATTGTTTTGCACTTTTCCGAATTGGTGTAGGACATGTTCCGATGTGGTCATCGATAATGCCATCATTTTAACGAAAGTACATTGGGAACAATGTACAGAAAAGAAAAGTATAATATGACTGTGAAGAACTCAGCCATGTCTTTGTTGTACGAAGGCGAAGAATCCTGTTGTGGAGGAAGCATTGTCATACGATATGTCACAAATAGGTATCATGTCACATATAAAAAAACATTTTACATTTTACTAGAATTTTTATTTAAAAAAAAACATTCAAAGAGAATTAATTAAATGGTTTTGGTTTAAGAGTTGAAGCATTAAAATAGATACATTTAACAATAAATATTCCTAGAATATTATATATTTTTTAAATAAAGACAACACATAATTATGAATTCATATCTTTGATGACAAATGGAAATGGAACAGAGAACAACATGACTAATTTCAGAGGCAAGGAGGAAGACAAAACAAAATTTGCTTTTAGATTTTTTTTGTTACTGTTGCATTTATCTTTGCCCTCATGATTTTGGGTTTCCTGTTGATAAAACAAATAAAGAACAATATTTTCCCTATATATTTCTATGTAAAACTTTGGTGGGCCATTGTGGCCCTGCCCTATCCCCGGGGGTCATGATTTGCACAAACTTGAATCTAAATATGATCAATTATAGCTTTTCATTTCTTGAGAAGAAGATTTTTCAAAGAATTTTCTACATATTTCTATGAAAAAATTTGGTAGACCATTTTGGCCCCGCCCTACCTAAGCTTTTCATTTCTTGAGAAGAAGATTTTTAAAGAATGTTCCTATATATTTCTATGCAAAACGTTGGTAGGCCATTGTGGCCTCGCCCTATACCCCCGGGAGTCATGATTTGAACAAACTTGAATCTACACTATATGAGGATGCTTCCATACATATATTATCAATCATAGCTTTGCTAATTTTGAGAAGATTTTTAAAGAATTTAAAGAATGTTCCTATATATTTCTATGTAAAACTTGGGTTGGCTATTTCGGATAGAAGGATATGGAGATAACAAACAGTATTCAATCTCAATGTCCATAAAACAATACAAAATAAGAGCAGAGCAAACACGGACCTCCGAAACATCAGAGGTGGGATCAGGTGCCATGGAGGAGTGAGCATCCCCTGCTGACCTGTCACACCCGCCGTGTGTTCCTTGTCATGATCTGATCAGGAAATAACGGATAAATCCGTTGTCAATTCAGTGTATGAATAATGGACTAACAATTAGAATGAAAAACGTCAATCAGCATTTGACTCAATGATAGTTGTATTTGCTGACAAGGTCATTGTATCGATCATAGAACTTACGAAATGATGGCTTTAAACGAGACGGCTGATATTCTTGTTTCATCAACTTGCTTGTCAATAATTTACCTCGTTTTCGAAATTGTTCATACGTAGAGCAACCTTTTGCGTATCGAATCAACTGAGATATATATACTCCGTATGCAGGTGATGAAGGTATATTGCTGCATAAGTAAGGGAAGTTGACGATAGAAAAGTTAAAGTCATCACGTTTATCATATAGCTTGGTTGTTAGATTACCATTAACGTCTTTTTCAAGTAGAATATCCAAGTATGACACAGATGTGTCAGACTCTGTGGCATCTTTTATCTCAAGCTCACCAGGATGTAACGTATCGACGTAGGAATGGAAATTACCGTTATTAATTGACAATACGTCGTCGATATATCTAAATGTCGAGTTGAAGGTCACAGCAAGTAATTTCTTCTTTTCACGCATAAGATTTTGCACAAATTCTGCTTCATATGAATATAGAAATAGTTCCGTTAATAACGAAGCGCAATTGGTACCCATGGGAATTCCAAGAGATCGTTGGAATACCTGGTCTCCAAAAACCACATAGATATTGTCAATCAGAAACTCAGGCATCTCCTTGATTGTATTGCATTGGTATGTGTTATAAATATTAGTATGTTCTTTTTAAAAATATTTTGTTACTCTCAATCCCTTAAAGCCATATATGGCGTATGTACAATGAAAAGTATTAGATTAAAATTATAAGAACTTATTATTTGTATCATTACTTTATATAAATTTACAAGTTTTCGGTAAATTACAAAATCTAAGTCAATTGCGTTATAAAGATATTACAATTTAATTTGGGTTCTCGGAATTTTCTCCGACTCGGAGGAAAATACCAAAGATTTAAATAACACAATACAGAGAAGATAAAATCGTATTAATTTATTAAATGAAAATAGGTGTTCTCCGTGATCAGAATTGCATGAAAAGTTTTAATTTAAATGTATTAACTATATTTCTTTACTTAATTTTGTATTTTTCAAAAATATATTTTTTTGATCAGTTACGCCATATATGGCTTTAAGTTATAAGTATGTCAAACAGCTACTAATAAAAGAGCATTTATACATATGAATATACATTATTCAGTTCACCTTCTTTTGGTTCATGATGGAATGTTTTATTGTAAATGTTATCATCAATATCAGTGAAATGACTGTAGACACTTTCCTTTCTATCAATACATTTCTTTTCTTTTTTATGAAGTGTACAATAGAAAGCTTCCTCATCGAGATAAGCATGTGTCAAAGTACTGCTCTGTTCGCCATCAACAGTACTTTGTGATTCTTTCACTCTTTCATGAACATGACATTTATATTGTGCATTCTCTGTGTCTTTCGGCATTAATTTAATGTGGAACAATGATTTTCCAACAGTTACTTTTTCTACTGATGTTGAATATTCCACGACTTCATCCTTTTGTATTTTAATAAAATGTAAAAAATTAAGTTACGCTAGTATATGCTAGAATTAAAAGTAGAACTTGGATTATGCTTCATATTTTGAAAGAAAGTAAGACATAATTTGGACTTACGAGAAACATTTAAAAAAGAAGGTTGAAAATGTTA